TCAGGAACAGCTGACGGTGTTCAAGAGCACCAAGAATATCTCGAAGGGACTAAAGCATCGCCAAGTGTCTTTGAAACGAGAACTGTTGAACTGCTAATTCCTTAGAGAAGCTATTGAACTGCTAATTTGTAACGAATGTCTGGATCGTTAGCAATCTCATCAACAGGCGACGCACAGTACTGGACAAAGTGACTGGAAAAATAGCCAGTTGCACAGAAGAAAAACTAATCTATAAAATTAGCAGATGTTTCAGGTATATATATATACTTATATATACCTCAAACATCTGCTATATATACCTGAAACATATATGTATACCAAAAACATCCGTATATGTATAAAGCAGCTTTAATTCTGAAATAGCTACACAGACAAGTTGAAACGTGGAAAAATAAAGGAAAAATAGCTTAAAAAAAGATAAAATTAGTATATTTTTAAAAAAGTAAGGAAACAAGATCAGCTACGAAAAGTAAGAAAGTATTCATCCAAACCGAAACTGCATGGCCACTGACTATCGGGACGAAACTCATGCTGAAATTTTCAGCCCTGTAAACAAAATCTGTGTTGATTTCAATTGTGAAAAACATGCCAATCTCGAGGTCGTGCAGTGGGTCCGGCTGAGTGACAGTTAACTCGCCCCGGATGCTTCGCCCCATCACCCTCATCTTTTTTGAATGACTCCACGAATCCTTGCTGAGAACATAAGACAGCTTTGTTAGTGCCGCTTCCGCTGTCATATCCGAGCCAGGAATCACGCCAATATCATATAAAACCTAAGCAAACAAGTTGTTAATTAAATTATGCAAATTAGGCCACAAAGTTATTGAAAGCGAGTGATCAAACAAAACGGTAATAAAGCGAATGTGTACAAAATCTTCTCGCGCGCAATATACTCTCGAATCGAGAAAATTTCTGGTGAAAATTCGGGAGGAGAGAGAGCAGGATTCAGGAAACAGTTCTCCATAACTAAACACATCGTCGTGCTAACACAGCTGATAGAGCGGTGCCGAAAATACAAAGTTCCATTATGCTCGCTTTTCACTGACTTCAGAAAAACCTTCGACTCAGCTGCCACACTGTGATAAAGAGTCGATCCAGCATACCTTGCTATTATCAAAGACTCCATGACAGAGTCACATACGGAAATCAACCTTTTCGATGATCCTATATTAATAGAAGTAAAACAATGTGTGGAAACAAGGCGCCACTTGTTCCTTGAAAGATTTCACCAGCGCACTAGAAGGCCTTCTTAGAAGTATGAATGCGACAGATGGAATCAGTATCGATGGCGAAAAACTGTAAATGCTACTCATTACGGACGACATAGTCCTTGTCGCAGAAAGCCCTCAATCGTTGCGGAATCTGCTAAATGAGCTCGTAGCGAAAACAAAGAAAATCGCGCTTACAGTTAAAATCAACAAAACCAAGTGGATAAAGAATATCTTACTGTCCTTCGTTCGACATGAAACTGGACAACAATTCCATCGAACTTGTGGACAGCTATACCTACTTGGGACAAGCAGTGCAGATGAACAACGACCTGGGCATTGAATTAAAGAGAAGAATAAGAGAAGAGTGGACAGTTTTCGCCAAGCTCCGCGATATATCCTGCAAAAGCAGCAATTTTTAATCCGATCGTATTACCAGCTGTGTTATATGGATATGAGACCTGAAATACCACTCTTGTCGAAGAAAGTTAAGGAGCAATGGAGCGACGGATGGTTGGCGTTAGCAGACTGCAGCACATTCCTGGCGAAGTACTCCGAGTCAAATCTGGCGCGAAGGATATCATCGAAGCAAGTTACATTAGCAAGAAAAGGTAGTCTGGTCACATGGCACGGATGGCAGACAACAGATGGAAGAAACTGATAACAGAATGGTACCTACGCGCGGTCAAACGAACCACTGGGAAGGCTCCCAGCGAGGTAGAGAGACCTGATGGTACACCCATAGGGTGTTTCGTGGTCTTGGAAAGCGTAAGAACAAAGCGAATGGAGAAGTTGCCAGCTGCATCGATGTCGCGCTGACGAACGCCCATGATACACAGCTGTTCAAATATTCATATAAGTAGCAAAGCGAATGCCAGAAACCAAACAGTATTTTTTTGCCCAATATTCATAATTTTTGAACATATAGGCCAAGCTGAAGTGATTGGTGTGATACTAGCGATTGTAGAGATTAAACATGTACCGATTTTGGCGTCCTTAGCATATCAAGGCGTCAGTCCGCCTCCATTATTCCTCTTAAACTACTCCAAAAGGGGGAAGCATCACTAGCGTTGCCAGAAAATGACTGTTGTTGGTACCAGATCCACTTGAGATGTTTCTCTGTTGCGGAGAAAGGAAAGTGGAGGGTCTTTTGATTCCTGACGTTTGCAAAGGAATTTGCCTTGGTGTATACAACAAGCAATAAATTTTTAAAACTTTCACTTTTGTCTAAGAGAATAACTTCTATACTACTATCGAGAAAAACGTGAACTAGTAGTCTGTTCAGAAAATAAGACAAGCATTAGGATCGCCAGCAGGCTAGCCATTAGGCGATGCAGAATTGTTCAAAGCAGATGGAAAAGTTGCCAGTATCAAAGATGGAAAACCGGACTGTGAATTAAAAGCTGTTCCAAGCATTCCAACAGCTTTAAACCTTATGTCAATTTTTATGTCTTATGAAGTATACGGTATGAGACTTTACACAGCTAGGTATCCCTTGAAAATTGCATTATAAGGTTATTATAATTAAGATGCCATAAGTCTTCTCTAACAATTAGTCATAAGGGCTAACTGACTGGAATAAATCAAGAAAAAAATCTTCACCTTTCCAGTCAAATAATGAGCATCTACTTGGCCGCGCATACATTGCGAACAATTTACAACAATGCAGCCTCGCTCGATGGCTCTTTTCAGTTCCTCAATGATATCTCTTCTTTTTGATGGCATATTGCCGGCTCCAAATGTTTGCAAGATAATTCCTTCAACTGGTGGCTGTAAGGATGCACGAACCTGGAAAAAAGTGCCATAAAAAATCGCTTCAGACACTACTTATGCCTCCTCGCTGAAGAATTAATAAATGGCAACGCGCACCAGACTAGCCGGTGCGATCATGCGTTTTGTGCAATTCAGCC